TTTCATTCTGGTGAGGAAACGGAAAGGGAAAATAGCAAAGGCTGAAATTATAAACAACTGCTTAATTTACATAATAATAACTCTACATATCTTTGAAGAATAATTATCTTTCTCTTTATGCATTCGGTTTCTTTTTTCAATAAGTTTCCTCTTCATTTTAGAATTTTTGGATTTAATTAAAGATTTCTGTTATTCTAAAAAAATAAATGCACGTAGATTTTATAGGAAAAGGTGCTAATTTTATTTCTTTAGTAATGGGAACATTCAAAATAAATATGAAATGATATACGGTAAGGGCTAGTTAAGAGCTGATGTAGCAGAATTTTTAAAATTTAGTGACACACCGAGCAACAAAATCAAGAAATTGCAAAATTTTAGAATTTAGGATCCACAGAGATTGCATCAGGTGGAAAAATGTGTAACGTCAGCCCTGTGTATGATGCAAAAGCCATAGCCAGGGTTTTCAGCGCCCGGGGACAACTAAAGATTTTGCGCCCTCTCTTTTCAACAGAACATTGATTTGGTTCTAATATGCAAACTTTTCCTTGCATTCTGAATCCTGTATGCCAAGAATGAAAAACATTTAATTCTAAAATTTTGTAACATCAATTTGGCATCCCATGGATGCTGTGCCCGGAAACAGATGTCTCCCCCTTGCCCTACCCAAAATATGTCACTGGCGATGCATTGATAAGATTAATCTTTTAAATTGTCAGTTTTCAATTTCTTTATTTATAGAAAAATTCCTTTTTATAAATGCCTGTCCATGTGATAAGATTAGAAGAATTTTTGATATTTTCCATACTTGTGTCTAGTGGAAAGTAGAGAAGACGATGGGAAAATAAACATATTAAGAAAAAGACTTCTAGTACCAGAAGTAAAAAATTTAAATATTACCTTTTCATTGTTTATCAGAAAACTCTAAAAAGAGTAAAAGTTTATCACAAACTTTCTGTAAAATACATCCATTACATGTTAATACCATGAAGACATTTGTCTGAAATCTTCTAGATTTGTGAGCCTGTAAATCTTGACTTAAAATCCTTCTAAACTTTGTAAGTTGCATTGTCTAAAGTCCTAAAGAAAAATTACTCCTACCAATTCTGCAACAGCAAAAAGGCTGAAATATTTTTTATAAAAAATCAGAGGAAAACGTATAAATTTAATTTTAAAGAGAAAACTGATGATATTGAGCCAACTACAAGGGAAAAAGGAACTACTCTGATATGCGGCCTCAGGTCGGCAAATTTCTCGCCAAACCTCTACGCTGCCATATTACTATCTAAATTTTTTGTCTACGTTTTGAACTTTAAGCCTAAAATGTCTCTAAAAATGCAGTTTTCGCACATGCAAAAACTACGTTTTAAACACACAATTTAAGCTAAAAATCAAAAACAAAAACAAAAAATTTAGATAGCAAAAACGTAAAGTTTCTAACCAAAAATATTTGACAAGAATCCATGTACACAGCAATATGTTTTAACTTAAAAAAATCTACAAATTGCACAATTTAGGCAACGAATGAATCTACGAGCTACGCAGACCTCGCTTTAATAAATTAACATAACAACAATAAATTTCAAAGAATACCATGTACACAGCGTTCTGTTTCAACTTTAAAAAACATCTACAGATTGCACAATCTAGATACTAGGCACTGATCAACAAAATAAACAAAAATAAATTTTAAACAAAAAAACAACAATTACGACAGAAATTCATACTAAAAAACAATGAACATAACATTCTACAAAATAAGAACAAAAATAAAATAAAATGCACTTACCATGAATTAATGCTTTTTCGAACAGCAGAAATACTAATTTCATACCGCCACGTAATCACTATCGTATTTATATGACAGCCAGACACACTATCTAGAAAATTTATACTATGGTTCACAAATAAATAAAATCACAAATCTCTATTTCTATCATGCAGAGCCACTAAAAATAATCTCTTAGACCTTCTTTCGAGACCTCCAAATATCCACTGCCCCTCAACAGGATGGCCACAATATTTCCTTTTGCCGAACTTCAATTCAACAACTTCCACCATTTTATCTTTCCCCTATCTTCTAAGACACAGACACGAACCAACAAACCAACGAGCTCCGCTGAAAGATTTTTTAACGTCAACAGGGTTGTCATACAATACGCAATCGCGCCAAAAACCAGCGCAAAACATATATCACCACATTTGGTAAAATTAGGGCGTGTATCAGAGTTATACCGGGAAAAACTCTCATTATGAAAAAATTACAACGAAGGCAGTTTTAATTAATTACATAGCTATTTTGCTTTTGCTAAGAATTGTTTCATAAATCGTGCTAAAGTGTAAAGCAGTTTTTTTTTTCTTTTTTTTTTTAAGCCCTCTGGGCGGCCAGGGGTTTTGCTAAGAAAACACAAATTTCCGAAAACTACTATGAGAACATTTTTTTTTTTTTTTTTTTATATATATAATTTAATGTAAAAATTCTACTGGTATTTCAAACCTGGATTTGCTTTCTTTTGATATATTGACTTAATTTCGTTAACATATTTTAATATACATGTATATATACGTTCTTACAGATATCACAATAAATATTCTAAACTGTATATATACGGCCTTGCCGCTTAGAGGTTTAATATTATTTCCAATGGCAGCTTATAAAAATACAAAAACAAAGAACATAGAATACAACAATACAATGAGAAAAAAACACCTGCAACAGAGTCCATTAATCAAACATATCTCTTGCCTCCCAGTAACGCTCGGCGAGAGAATTCTTGCGCAGAGCAGGACAATGGGGTACATGTGCGGCATCCATCACCTATCCAGAGCTGCACAGAGTGCATATCGGAGAAGAAAGAATTTTGAATCTGTGAAGATGATATTGTAGGCAGTCAAGTCCAGTAGAAAGGCAGAATTCAGCAAGGAAAGCAGTTATTACTTTGTTTATTTTTCAGATTCAAAATATTGCATAAGTCACCAAAATTGAAAGTAATGTCACTTTATATGATAGCGAAAAATAAAAATGTTTAATTTTAACATTATTTCTTGAATACGATTTCAATATATTAGCATTATTTTAATGAAACTGATCAACGATATAACATTTAAAAAAAATATCGTCGAAAAATTCCCAGATTTCCAAATTAAAAGTTTTCTACAGCAACTGATCTTAAAATCACCAAAATGTTGATAAGTCGCCAAATTTGGAACAGTTTAATAAAGAATTCACATTCCCAAACGCAAAAAGTTGTTTAAGAGCTCTTCATTAGAAAGAATGAAATAATTTTGAAATGCTTATGTTTCACTTCTTGCTCAGAAACTTGAGTACCCCACTGTTTATATTAAAAATAGGAACAAATTATAACCCATGAATCTATTCACCCATTTAAAAGATAACTATACTTGTCAATGAATCGCCAAAAATATTTGTCCAAAATGCTAATTCACATTCAAAATGGCAGTCGGGGAAAAAAAAAAAAAAAAAAAATTCAGATGATTAACCTTTTAACTGTCATGCCCGAGATAATCTCAGGCACAGCACTGGTGTTCGAAAAGTCACGCCCGAGGATTACTCGGGGTAATTTTTTTTTTTTTTTTTTTGAGTGCATCGTATTGTTATACCAGAATATATATCGGGAGACGTTTATTTCGGCTTCAACTCATTGTCAAACCCAACTGTATCTCGGGAAAAGTTAATGTGCGCTTAATTCAATAGATGACAGCACCTTTACTGAAGATTTCAAAGGTTAGAGGTTATAAGTTCTTTGGTTCAAAGTGCACGGGATCTTTTTGTTGTAAAATGGCGTCCAGGTTTTTGAAACATTATATAGATGATTTAGATTCTTCAACCGAAGATGAAGGATGTGTGTTTGACGAGCAGTATTCATGACACTTCCACAGTCAGCCTAAAAAATAAAAAATGAAGATATACTCAAGCCGAAGATTGTTTCTGACTACAGTCTAACTATGGGTGGTGTAGATCGCTGTGAGTAGGAAATATCCTTTCATCCAACAATCCGAAAACGTCAGAAAAGATATTATAAAAAGATATTTTTACATTTACTAGACAAGGTACTCTGGAACACCTATTTGCTCTAAAAATGTAGTGGGAAAGGTATTACATTTTTAGAATCTCGAATCCAAGTTGTAGAAGAGCTTTTACATAAATATGATGATGCAGCTTCTGTGCAAAAGAATGTTGGCAGACCACCTACAATAGATAACCCTGCCGTCTTACTGAACGACATTTTATTTCCCATATTCCTCCTTCTCCTGTGAAACGTGAGCTTACAAAGACAGTTGCAAAGTTCGAAAAAGGATAAAAATGGGAAAAATGGGAAAAGATAGGAAGGAAACACAAATGGTGTAGTGATTGTGGAGTTGGTTTGTGTTGGAAAAGTGTTTCAGTTATACCACACAGACTGAATTACTGAACTACTAATAGATATTCACTTTTATTTATTTATTTTTCAGAAAATATTAATTTTTTTCATTTTTAGAAAAATAATGCTCCACTAGAAGCGAATTTTACAACTGCCATGTTGAGTGGCAGCCGCCTCAAGCAAATATTGCAGTGGCTACAGAACTTAAAAATTTTACCCATGTACTTCAAAATATCAATTTTTAACTACTTAAGTATATTTTATTTTGTACTAAACATTTGATTTTTCCAATAAAAAAAATTTGACAATTTGTGTACCCAAATCATCAAAATAACTTGACAGTTAAAGGGTTAAAATTAAGGACCTCTTGCCAAATTTGGTCAAAATTAAGGACTTTTAAGGAGCAAAAATTGATCCAAAAAAACGTAAGGGCTTTTAAGGACTCTTAAGGACTGTATGAGTCCTGCAGTATTTTTTTTTTTAAATTCACTAGAGTATACAGAGATTTTTTGTAAAAAGCCCATATATATACATATATTAACAAGCAAGGTAGTTAGTATATATATATATACAAAGCTTTATATAAAAAAGCAGTTAAAATGAACTTTAAAAAATACATACCACATCTAGGTACAGATGGACTGCCTTTCATAAAAAGCATTACAGGGGCTTTATTAATTAATTTCTGTAACCTAGCATTCAAGACCTATAAGACATAATAAAATTCAGTTTATATATTGCAGTAAAATCTACAAGAGTCAAAGAATTGCAGAACTCATGTAAGTAAATATTTATTTCTTTAGTTTAAATTTGATGAAACAGAAATAAATTATGCATCAGGAAAGCCCCTCCCCCCAAAAAACTTTTTGTCTAAAAAAGGATATTTTGTTTTACACATAGAACTTTTGGGGGGGGGTGCTGTTTTGTTAAAAAAATAGAAAAAAAATTGCTCATTTGCATTGTTTTAAGTATATATTTGGCTCCCCTATTCCCAAGAAAGAACCTAATTATGCGTCAAGGCATTCAAAAATACCTAAATAAGACTTTTAGTTACTCTAGAAATCTGGAATTATAGTGTACATCTGTTTATTAGCAGAGATTAAAAAACTGCACATGTAGAATAGTCTGAACAATGATTTAAAAGTTGCCAATTTATTGCACTTTTTGAATTCTTTTCACATAATGTAGATCTTTTAATTTCATTGCAAATATTCTGGCTTAGAGGACTACCCTTTGATATCCTTCTTTATATATGATGATACTTAAGTATCCCTTATCTGTAATACTTCTTTATAAAGATAAAAAAAATTATTTACATTCAACAAAAAATTTCAAATATATATTTAATATCAAGACATTTAATTGCTCTTGAAAATATACTATACAGCCAGTAATGACTGCTAACCCTCTGAAACATAAACAGTATTGCCCATTTGTCATCAACAAATGCTATGATTTAATAAAAGGTCTGCGAGTTAAAAGTGAACATGCATAAAAGCTGCTGGTGTCAAAATTAACACATGATGTGTAATGTTCAATGTAGCACAGCTATCAGTACCCACAGATTCGGTCACTCCATCTGTAAGATTTCTAAAAATTCCAAAAGACAGTAGTGAATGTTACAGTAGTAAAATGTAAGCATGAGAAAGTTATTAAATTTCAATCCTTGTTCTGAAAGACCAAAAAAAAAAATAAATAAATAAATAAATAAATAAAAATAAAAATAATAGACTTGGATTGCTAAATCCTCCTACACATGGTGTGAAATCAAATAGCAGACAGAAACTATAGCTACTTATTCTTCACTGGCTTAATGATGTTATGTGAGCTGTTATACAATGCTCAGACACTGAATTATTGAAAGAACAACTTGTGAAGTAATAAATTGCATTAGATGTAATGGAGGTCCAATGGATAAATTAAACTGAACATGTTATTCCCACTGTGAAATCTTATATAGGAGTAATACCTGTACCAATACTTTTTGGGGGGCTTCCCCATCTACTAGTTTTTGTTTTCTGAAACCTAAAGGCTATAAAAAGCAATACTGGGCTATTTCATTCTGACAACCCTGAAGCAATATTTTAGAGCTAGTTCGCTCCCTTTTAACATTCATATTCCCATTTAGAAGACAAAGATCATAATTCAGAGATTTGAGGAAAGTGGAGTGAATAAATTTGAGTAGCCAGTTAGAAGTCTTGATTTCAATCTAGATGAATGTTCTTAAAACAGCAACTGCAAATTGAGTCAAACCAAACTAATTAAAAACAAGGCAATCCTTTACCATTCTATACAAAGAGCAACTCAAATACCTTCAAATAGTCACAAAAACTTTGAAGAGAAAATCCTAGATGTTTTCAACTTCAGAATCAGGACATATGGTCTGCCTGTATTTATTTATTTCAAATAACCTTGGTAAAGGCTATAAGTAATAGTGTTAGAACGAGTCCTTTTAATGGAGCTAAGAGCTTTTAGGTGTCCAAATTACAAATTATAATAAAGTGCTCTTTTGTTATGGTTGTTAGCCCGATCGGTAGCATCTCCTTCTCATATTCTGTAGGCTCAGATTTAATTCCATACTTTTTGCAAATGCAGAAACCTGAAACTTTTCTCTATTTCACACAAGATGGGGGTGAAAAAGCAAACTCCACAATTTCTAATTGACTGAGAAATGCACAAAATTCTTCATCTGATCTTTCACTCACAGTTATAGTTAAATTAACTTCCATTTGATTGATTCCTTATAAATAGTAGCTAATGACCTTCCCCAATCCTTTCTTTCTTTTTCATTAGACTAAACTACTCAAAATTCTGGAGCTTTGAAAAATAGAATTGAAAGAATTAGAAGATTTTAATAAATCCATTCCCAATAGAAATTCCTAAAAGTAATTAGTACATTAATTCCTATCCAGTTATACTTTGTATGCAACACAAATGAAAATAATTTTAAAAAGTATAGAATTTTTTTACTTTTGCTAAAAAGTGAATCAAAAGCAGTTTTTTATAATATCTTTTGTCTTGCTTGTTCTCTAGAATCAAAACATTAATGTCTTCAAAATGAAAGGTAACGATAGAAAAAAAATAAAATGTTTGATTTTAATGTTATTTAAAATATATAATTTTAATATATTTATCATCTTAATATATTATCTATGTTATTATACAGGTAAACAAAAATATAATAACAAGAAATATAAACTTCATAAACAAGCCACTAAATTACATGACATAAGGCAAAATTTTCTTATTTCAATCTGAAATCTTTAGTGTATTTTAGCTTTTTAATTTTGTTAAGTAAACAATTTTATTTCTTTGAGCCTTCATATCAATATGTTTTTATTATCCATTATGAATGAATCTTTTACTCATTTTAGTACGATTTATGAAAACAGAGGAAAGACACATGAAGTCTAGATTTAATTCATAAACTAGCTTTACAACAATTAAATTTTTTAAGCATAGATACTAATTTTTCTGGACAAAGTTATCAAAACTTCAAATATCATTTGACACAACATTTCTACATTACAGCACAATAAAGGTCAACAGGCTAATGAACTAGATAATTACTAAGCCGCATCATTAAATGAATTATTATAATAATTGAAGATCGGCAAACATTGCACATTATTTACCGTAGCTCTAAAATAGAGAAAATTAACAGCATTCAAAAATAAAAGAATACAACCCTAAATTCAAGGTTACACTATAATATATTGGGGGAAAACACTAATGAACAAATGAAAGGCAAAGAAGATAAAGACTATTTTTAGGGTACTTTTCCATTATAGCCATACCAACACATTTTGGCTTATTCTTTCCCCTTGCTTTTGGTTTAATATCGGACAAAATGGAATGAATGGAGACAACAACATGGATCATTAATTTCACGATAAAATTCTCCAAAAACTCACCATGGAGGGAAAACATGGTCTATGCATTTTTCTTTCCTTCTTTTCTTGAATATGTTTTTATCCATTTCCACAATTTTGTTACATTCACTGTATTTTTAACATTAGGATGAAATAAGAAAGAACTTTTCTCGTGTCATTTCTCAATAGCCATTGTCTTACGACTAATTGGAAGCAAGCTTCGGTTTGTAAAATGGATGTCAACTTCCAACACCATAAGTACATTAATTATAATAACTGGAACATGTGATCCAGTGAAGCACATTTATGTTCAGACATCTTTTTCTACCCTGCATAAGCAAAGGCTGCATAGCCAAACTTGCATTATCCAGAACTGAGGCAATAATATGCACCCCCTCAAAAAAGCAGAGTGGCTTTAATAGAAAAGTACCACTTTAAGAAAACAACTTTACAGAATCACAATGACAATTTCTGTTATTATTAAAAAAAAAAAAAAAAAAAAAAAAAAAAAAAAACATACTTCCTCTGGACTTTCATTTCCACATTTTTTTAAATGTTCTTTGAGTTTCTTAGAAAACATTGGGGCATTTGCTCCAATTAATCGGTCAATGGGAACTTGATTCTGAAAAGTTTATAGCATATTGTACTAAACACCACTATAATTTTCAACATAAAAGAACTTTCTAATATGGTCTTAAAAACTCTATATGCTTTGTAAAAATTAATGTTAAGATAAACAACTATTTAAAAAAAGTGTAAAAAGCTACATTAATCTTTTCAGAAAAGCATCTAAATAAATTAATTACAAGTGAAATTTTCTTTAAAATGTAATGGAATTTTATATGATGAAGTAATAGTGGAAGTGAGAAATTATTTTCTAAGATCTAAAATTAAATATAGCAATAACAAATAGCATGCTATTTTTCCTCATTTTTTATAATTACTAAACTTACTACTATCAAAATGAAACTGTTACTAATATGAAGTTTGGGGCATGGACAACAGCAAAAAAGTTTATAACCTATAAGTTAGTTGAATTGCTGAATGGTGCAGAAATTTATTTTTCTCAAACCTATTTTTAACAATGGAAGTAGTAATTACATCTCCATTTACTTTAGGTATTTTATAACTTTCAATAGAGCCTTTTATCTCAACTCTGAGCATTTACTTCTTCTTTAAAAAATGCGAGAAGTGGGTTCCATTCATCGAGGATTCTAGATAAGCATTTCTTTAAAGACAGCCAGCATGTACACACGTCTCAAAATTTTTCTCATTTTAGTATTATACAGCTATTGGAACTGTTTCAATTTTCCCTTCCTTTTAGAACTCCTTTCAAGATAATAATAAATATCAACAATGTGTTTATCCACATTTATTTGTAATGAAGCTGCCCCTTTTTCAGCTGCTAAATTTAAGATTTGACAGGTGCACCTCATAATCTGCAAATCTGAATTTTCCTTTCTTAAGATGCCTGCAACACCAGTCTTCAAACCTACCATTACTGGTGCATTATCGGCACCAAGTGCTAAGCAATTATCCAGAGGGACTGCATTTTCTTTTAAATTTTTAATAATTAACTGCCCTATATTAAAGCCTGTCAAATGGCCTTCTAAAAAGGGGACAGAAAGTACACTGCACTCAATTTCTGAAGACTCTAGATTGAAAAAAGAAACAACAATGGATACAGTTTTGAATCGGTATTATTGCTTCCATCCGTAGAGAGGCAGAACAGAGCTGTTTTAATGCAATCAATAACTGAAGATTTATTTTTCAAATTCATTTTTTTAACAATTGCACCTGTTTTGGACCTTGAACTTGAGTATTTCTTAGCGATTTCACTATCAAGAAACATTTTTCTAAATAAAGCTGCAGCATGACCTGATGCATTCAGTGGCAGGTTGTGCTCCAGTAAAAAGGCAGAGAACAGACATTCTGCATTAAGAACTTTTTGGTCCACTTGTTTCCGAAAAAAAATTTAATTTTTCATTTTTTTTCAAAACAACTCATGTTGTCCTTGTGTTTTCGTTTATGCACATGTTTGAGAACATCCGCCCTTCCACCATGCAAAATCAAAAAATTGCAATGACAGACATTACACATTGCAAATTTGTTATATTTCCTTGAGGAAATAATGGAAGGAAAGTCAACTGTGTAAATTTTTGAAATGTACACAGGTATTTCACCTTTCTTGCAGACATAACAAAAGATGATAATTTCTAAAACTATTTAGCAGGTAACTTTTACATATGCTGCAGCACCACTGCACATTTGTCTATTGGTACAGCAGCTGTTGTGCCATCAGTTTAAAGAAGGAGTCACGAGTAGCTTTTTCCCACTTGCATAGCTGCCTCACTATCTACATCTAACACGAATTTCTGCTGGGTTATTTCAAATAAAGTCCAAGGTCTATCTTGGTGGGGTTTTGACCTCGGCAACCATAAAGGACATGCATGGTCTGTGCCGAGCATTCTTCATGGTAGCATGTTACCTTCGTTCATGATAGCATGTTACCTTCGTGCTTAGAGAAAGTTATATACATTATGCAATGCGTCATCCACAAAAAGGGTGATCATATTGTAAGAGATTCATGCCCTTGCCAAAGAAGCACTTATTTTTTCATTAAGTGGTACAGTGCACTGAAATAGCATCTTTATAAATCTTTGGGGGAGTTCATTTGGTCAGCTGTGCAGACTAGAACAGTACCACGTTTTCTCCTATTGCCAAGTTTCGAAACTAATTTTTTGTTACAGAATATTTTTTCCCATGTTGTCATTAGTCTCCCTACCAAATCTGGTGGCATTCCAGCTGGTAGATAGGGCTGTAGATGGCTCTCAGTAGTGCCTGTTTAAAAAAAAACTATATGCCACCATTTGCAATCATACCTTGTAGAATTTCTAGAAACTTTTAAAGTTATTCCATAATTTTTGGTTAACTATAATTATTATTGAACAACAAAATGAAAATGATATTGTTACGAAAGTACAGGAGCGGTAAGATGGCTTTCCCGCAAAGCAGTTTTAGGGTTGCCATAAAATAGCTAGGAATGGCCGAGTTGCGACATTTGGCGAGAAATCGCCCATTTGGCGGCAAAATTATGCCATGGACGGATGGAGAACCTTCTGGAACGAATTCTTACCGGTTTAGCTCAGAATGTCGTCAAACACAAGCCGAAAGCTATATAAACCCTGCTGGTCCGCAGTCAGTTCATGCCTCGTCAAGTGCGAGTTTGTGTATCTCATCTAGTTAGTCCGTGCGGAGATGATCTAGTTGACAGCCAGCCAGCGAGTGCCGAGTGGGTCGTCGAGTGCATCGAAGAGTCTCTTAGGGTATCACAGTTAGTGCAGCGTCGAGAGAATGTGTTAAGCTCCAGGAGTGACTGAACCGTAGAGTCGGGAGCTGTGTTCTGTGTGCTGTCGAGTGCATCACAAGTTGTAGCTTGGAGAGTCTCGAGATGTGGAGTTCCGAGAACGGCCGAGCAGAGTCAGGAACTGTACTCTGGTGCTTTGTAGTGAAGCTGTCTCTACCTTTACAGCCTGATAACCTGAAGGCTGTGTCGCTGATTGTTCTAGCGAGTGTATAGTAGATCTTCGACGACTGTCAAAGTGACTTTGGAGCTGTCCTGATTACAGGGTTCGTACACATTTCTGGGCACGAAAATTAAGTACTTTTAAGGACCATTAATGAAAAAAAATTAAGGACCTATGAGCGAATGGGAACTGAATAAATTCAAATCAAAATATTATCTATGCCTGAACTTCACTTTTGTAAGGATTAAAAAATAGAATTTAATAAGTAAGGATGCATTATTATTAAACATGACTTAATTAACATAATTATTATTAAGTCTGATAATAAAATATATGAAATTTATCAAGGAGCATTATATATTTTACACTTATAAGAACTGAACATATTTGAAAGAGATAAGTGACATTTTATTTACGTTTTACTAATAGTTAGTTTTATGTTGATTTTATTTTATACCTTATTTTGTCACATACTTGCTCAGTCTAAAGCTTTAGTAAATAGTAAGCAGATTTTATGTCAAGCAGCACAGGTTAAAATGAGAGGTAAAATCATAATCAGCATGATGAACAACAAAAGACTGTTGTCAACTGCTACTGATTACCTGCAGGGGTTGTGACTCAGTTAATATACTTTACGGTTCTAATAAGCCACTAAAGCACCAGAGGTGATAAGTTGTTTTACATTATTTTAAGTCTCACTAGATGTGAAGAATAAGTTTTACATTTTTGTGTTTTATCTTGTGACTACGGTAAGGGTTAATGAAAGGCAATAACTCGCTTTAATATGCAGAGATAAATTTTAAGGGCGAGCAGTAAGCAGTTATAAGTAATTAAATTAGGTACAAGATAACCTTAGTCATTATGGATTCGCATGGTCACTATTAAATTTTATTTTTTTAGCCCTATTAAAATCCCAATCTAATAAAATTTTACAATTTAAAATACATGTAAAAATTTATGACATTGATTCTTAAACGATATTCAGATAATCACACGTAAAACATTTATGTTTTTGTAGTAGTACTACTCAACAAAATAGTTATGCATCTTTTTAATCTGAAGCCTTCCCAGACATTTTGGTTAATTTATATCAATTTCCTTCTCTTTAAGCACCTTTTTTAACAATTAGGAATTTGTCTCAATACACAAAAAAATGCTCTCACTAATTTCTGCGTGTTTTATCTCCTAAGCTGTCAACCTGTCCACAATGTACCTATGAAGGTTTATTTGATCTGGTAAAAGTTAAATAGTCCAAAACACATCAACAGATATGAAGCAAATTATCGCTATGTCTGAAAGTAACTACAATGTCCGAGAAAGGTTTAAATAAGATTCTTACTTAAAAAGAACTTCAAAAATAAAGGCATGTTCTTATGCTAACAAAATCAATTACAGCTCGTAGTGATTTAATGAAACAAGAAGAGTCAAATTCAAACTAAAAATATGAATTAGTGGTCAAAAGACTATACAATTTAATTTGATTTTAAGGCTGGCTCAATAACTCTCTATCATCATGACAAACTCAAATGTCGCCAACGGTAATCCAAGACTAATAATTACAAATTATCAGAGCGACAGGATCTAATGCAGTGAGCAAGTGGAGGTTAGAAACACACTCTTGTCTTACACTCCAAAAATCTCGGTTTAAAAACTGTCTAGGGGATTTGCATTCTGGTGAGAAAATAGAAAAGAGAAATTATAGTAAAGGCTGAAATTGTAAACAATTGGGTAATTTACATAATAATAACTGTACATATCTTTGAAGAATAAATTTGTTTTTCGTTAGATATTCAGTTTCTTCTTCCATGTTTTCTCTTCATTTTAGAATTTTTGGATTTAATTAAATATTTCTGATATTCTAAATAAACTAAATGCATTTAGAATGCATAGAAAAAGCTGCTAATTTTATTTCTTTAGTAATATGAACATTCAGAAGAAATATGAAATATATATGGTAAGCTTCGGTTAGAGAGCTGATGTGGCATCATTTTTAGAATTTAGTGACACACTGAGCCATAAAGTCCAGAAATGGCAAAACGGTTATAACTTAGAACAGGCATTGGAAGCAGAATTTAGAAAGGCACCGGGCAGCAGA